GGTCCCCTGTGTGTTCAAATATTATAATTATCCACAGGTTAGTGACTTGCTCAAGGCCATGCAGCAAAGCAGAGGATGAGCTGGGACCAGGGAGGTCTGCCTTCTAGTCTCATGCTTAATCCACTACAATGTGTTGCTCCAGAGTGAAGCTTGAGTCATTAGTGGTTAGATATGTGAAATGCGTTTTACTGATAGGGAGGCAGGCAGGCATTGTGTAATTGCTTGAAGAGCATGACACCGAAGAATGAATTATAAATAACATTATGCATTACTGCTACCCAGTTAGCAGTTTGTACACCTATTTGGCATCTGTTTCCCCAGTGATACGTTATTCAGCTTTTTCTGTTTTTTCTTTCTAAATCAGCACAGAAAGCAGAGGCAGAGTTGTGTGCGTTAAGAAATTCAGAGGTGTAGCAAATACTCATCAGTGCGGATTAGATAGCAGAACACTGCCAGAAAAAGCCAAAACAAAACTACCTCAGTGAACTGCTACCTTGACTTACTGATAAGAAAAAGAAAGAGCATTGTCCTCTGCTGTCACTTGAGCCAAAATTACTCCTTTTTTCATTATCTAGATCAGATAAGTTTTTATCTTTCCTTTTCCATAAGGCAGTTCCTGTGATTTTGTGACAGACAAACATGCAGCACAATTAAATCTTAATAGCAGTGCTTATACTGATTTATGGAAAAATGTTTCCTGAGTGTTTAGATCACTGCATGCAAAAACACAAAAAAAAGTTGTGTAGGTCACAGGTATGTAAACTGCATGCAAAGGAGGGCACTATTAAGCGGGGAACACTGTTTAGCAAGGCATAATTGAGTGAGCATGTGAATACAGGGATCTAAAAAAAAACAACCCACATTTTTTCTGCCATTTTCCTTTTTCCTGCACAATGGGAAAAGATTGTGCTAGGTTTTCCCCTTTATTAGTTCAATCCTCTTTCACTAGTAGTGACTCCACTGCAACTTCATTTCTCACAGCAAGTTCTTTTTACGCTGGAGATAAAGAAGAGTGAAAGGAAGTTCCTGGATGATGGATATGGAAGAGTTTTTTGTGCTGAGCCCGTGTGCCAGGGAGGTGACGTTCTCCATGAGTATGTGACTGAGGTCGTGAGTGTTACTATTTTGGACACATCAAGAAAAGGATAATCGGAGCTTAAAGCCAGCACACATATGAAGTTACTCTAGCCAAAGTGAAAGGAATTGAAGGCTGAAACAAGGAGTAAAGCAATGCAGTGGCTGAGATAATAGCATCTAATCCTGAGGTGTGTCAGAAGTAATGATAGTCACAGGTTTCAGAGTCAAGCTGAGCACCTTCATCGTTATAGCCGTGACAAACAAAAGATGTGTCAAGAATGAAGTTTTGGGTCATGTTTTTATGTATTTACCCTTCTGGGATATACTGAGTTGCTACAGGTTACAGTGGTGCAAGGAAATATGAAAACTGAGGCAGGCAGAAGATAAGGAAGAGACCCGGGATGGATCAGAGGAGGCAGCAATGGCCAAACCACTCTTGCCTGGCATGTATCGCTAAGCTCGGGCAGTGTGGAGCAGGCTGGCAGGTACTGAGGTCAGAGGCTGCCCTAAAAAGTGCTCGTCCTAAGGCCTGTCTACAGTATCTGCTGCTGGCGGAAATCTCCGGTGTTACAAAGAGAGCCTGAAAAATGAAATAACCTGGAAATGACCAGAAGGTGCTGGCAGGCACAAGACGAAATGCTTATATTTATGTGCTTGTTAAAAGTCAGCAGCAGTCTCAGTCTTGTCAAAATATCTCTCTCAATTATTTGCATTAAAAAGACAATATTTAGCATAGGGCTGGGATACTGAGTGATAAATCAGGGACACACAGTGCTGTCAGATAGACAGATTGCTTCACATAGAAGTCACCATGGTGTTTCTCTTAAGAACTGATGGCCATTGCTATTTCTGTGATCAGTTGCTTATCAGAGCCAAAGAGTCAAACCATTTATAAATAAGTTCACAGGAGGAGCTGGAATAATGACCGAAATCTCAGTCATAAAAGTTTCAAAAGCAGAGTAACAGGATAATGTTGTATAATAAATTACTTGCTGAAAATTATTTACTCAGCTGAACAGGTTGATTCCCTTTGCGCTCAACATTTCCACTTCTGAACAACTTGCTGTCTGTATCACCACATCATTTCCAAGATTTTTAGCCACTACTAAGGCATAGTCAAAATAAAATGTGGTTTTCCTCTTGCTTGAGAGGAACTACCAAGTACATGCAGTTCTGTAACAGATACATCCTTGTCAATATACTGCATGGCATAGAGGTTCCGCTGTCCCCGTATGCTCGCAACATGCGTGAAATACTGCAGGTACCCAGAACCAAGATGAACCATAACAGCACGGGCACTTGAGATGAGGTGCAGATTGGCTGCTTTGGGTCTGGTGGAGGCATTGTGAGGTTATAAAATAGGTGACTGGCTCCAGCAGTGTTTCAGAGCACCTACACAAGGCATCAACACTCCCAGTATAGTCAACACAGACTTAAATGCTCTGAAGTTCAACGGGCAGAGCAGCCAGCTTCCTAGGGCCAGCTCTGCTCACCTGCTAGGTCCTTGGCTATGAGTCATCTCTGCTCTCTTTGGAGGTTGGGCTTCTGACCTGTAGTTGTTCATTAAAATACAGTTTGGAAAAAAAAAAAACCAACCTGCTTACATTCCCAACTTCCCATTGTGAAAGTAAGAGATCAAGTACTTTGTTCTGAGCTTACCTATTTCTACCCGTTTTAAAACCCAGAGCATGTTGTCTGCTTCCTACCAGCTTTCACTCCATTTAAAAATGTGACGGCCAGCTGCAGCCACCCACATCTGGCATAAAAACCTAGTGGTTAGAGCACTGACTCAGGAAGCCAGATACCTACATTTGCCAATTCTGGAACGCAAGACTAGGATGCAAAAGAGATCCAGGAGTCGTCCTACAACATCCTTTTCCTCTTCTTTTTCCTCATACACTTGTATTTTGGATTGGGAAGTGGCTGTTACAGATCCCTTTCATGCTGAATTCATGTTGTCAGGTGTGTTTTAGCCATTTTCGTAGCACAGATAAGGTTCAAGCCCCGGAGGCAAGGGTTGGGCGTTTCTCCCCAAGGTTTCTGGATCAGAGCAGAGGCTGGGTGGGATGCCACAGCCATTTGGCTTTCAGGCCAAACAGGGAGGAACATAAGTTTTAGGTGTCTGTGGGGTTGGTTGGAGGATGTCTGGGTGTCTTCCGCTTCAGTTCCTGGATACTGTAGGTTGTAACCAGAGTATTAGTTGCCTGCTAAATTTCCCACTGACAAAAATTCAGCATGCAAATACTTATCATCCTCCCCAACTGTATTTTTACTTGCCCTATGGCTTAGTTGTTAAAAAGGGACCTTTATGAAAAGAAGTGTACAAAATTTAGAGTCTTGACTTCTGGGTAATGTATTGCTGTTTGTATCAGCTGTAGGAAAAAATATTTTTCCAGTAAGACACAGAGAAGATTATAAATTAATTGACATGGGAGAGAACGGTCAATGTTCTGGTTTCCAGTTGCCATTTTTCCAGTGCATATTGATTTCAGTTGAAGGCTAATGGGGTAGGGGAGATTTTGTCCCAGTGCCCTTTGATTAGGTACTGACGAACTGTGAAATAAAATCTGTACCTAGTGATACCATGGGACAGGTACCTGAGAGATGTTTCTGAAGAAGGAAGAGACTCTACATGGAGAGTGGAAAAACAGGCTGGAAAAAAACAGTGTCAGGCTGTGATAATAACTAATAGAGCTAAAAACTTAGACTTTGAAAATTCTTTACATCATTTTGTCATCTTGATAGCAGATTTCTGTCATTATCAGAAATTTAACATTTAACAAACGGCAAAATCAAGCAAACAGTAAAGACAACCAATATTTACTGTACTGAAGCAAGGAAATGTGAGAGGTTCAAATGATGCAGTGCAAAATCTTGGGAGAAAATAGATTATTTATAGTTTTCCAAGGCCCAATGGAAAATGCAATTACATAAATCAAGAGAAGTTGCTTTGAAAATTTCCTTTTCTCTTTCCACAATTACTATGCCAACCTGGCCATTTTAATTGAGCATTATAAAGGATTCAGAATGTTTCCAGTGTAAATGCATTCAACTGCTAGTGTGCTAGAACATTTTTACAATTCATGTTGTTATTCTAATATTTTTGCTAGTTTCTTGGGCGTTGGCCTCAGACTAATTTCACGGTACGTTTGGGGTCTAAACCACAGAGGGAAGGACTGAAGGGGGTTATTCATGGACTTGGCTTTCTACAGGTTTTTCTTTTTTTTTTTTTTGCTAACGTGGTGGAACTGTTTCCAAAAGCCAGCTGTGTGTGATGCTTCTTGTTTGAGCACATGCAGTAGATCAGAATTTGTCAGTGAAAAGGAGCATTCCACGTAGCCCAAATCCCAACATAGGAGTTTATACAGCTACGACATCACATATTTGTTGTTCAATATTCCAAATAATATTCTGGAAGATGATCTATTTTCCCTGGAGTCTCAGTTTTAAGTAAAAAGCATTAAAGGCTAGGTTTTTCAGTGATCTGTTGGGAATAATATTACTTAAGCAGCAGAATTCTGGGAGTGGATGTTTGCTCCAGCCTCTATTTCCTCTTCGTGCAATGTCTGCCTGCTCTAGATTCTCATTAATGTTTTCCTCTTCATCACTGATTATTTTTTAGTAAGAAAGTATGATCCACCATGATCCAGAATTACCACTAAGTGATACCTGGGCCCTTAAGCTTTGACTCTGCTCCCATGCAAATTAATGGCAGAACTTCTAATTACTTGCTTAGCATTAGTTGGGACCACTACAGAGTAATTTCAGTTTAAGGAGTTTTAAGCAAATGGCAAAATCCTAAAGTCTCTTCCACAATGAGGCTATGTGCTTACTTTGCAGTAAGTGTTCCTCAAGCTTGTCTAAGTCCCCTGCTATTGTTTGGGGTAACTTAAAATTCCTAATTGTCTGTGTTCAATTTCCAGAGAGAGCATGTGGGGCTGTGCCAGGTCAGCTGTTAACCCTTTTCGTTTTTTCAACTCCAGGTATGAAGCATTTTATTGTGTATTATCTAATGTTCTGTTTTATTGACAAAGTCTAGTAGCAGTGCTTTTCAGCTTTCTTTCCCTCTTTATGTCATGGCTGGGGGATATGCGGGGCTGGGCAAGGTCCAAAGTTGATTTTTGCTATTGCTTTTTATATTTTGGGGCTGGGGGGGTGGTGGTGTGCATCATGGGAAAGCTGCAAATCTTTTTTCCAAATCCCAATCACTGAAATACGAGAATAGAAACAAAATCCTGTCTAATGTTTGATAATGCAGTTTAAAATGTTCAAAATAGTTTACTGAAATTGAGTAGCAAAATTAACGTGAATCAACATAGCTCATGTTATAATGGGTCATTGCCAGTTGACAGTAAACTACTTTGAACATTTTAAACTGTGTAATGCGCCTAGTAGGTGCCCTGCTTTAGAGTGCAGAGTTTATATACAAATCCAGTGTGGGGGTGACTGGGAGGTTTCAGCGAGTGTTGCGATGCCATAAAGTGCCTCGAGTTCACCTCACTTGCCCAAGTAGAAATGATGTCATATGACAGAAGGGATGTACCAACGCTGATAGGGTTCCTGGTTTTGTTGGATTCGTTGCCGTTGTTTTACTGGGTTTTAAAATAGTGTGCAATGAAATGTCCACTCTCAGTGTGCTTGCTTGCTTGTTTGTCCTCCCCGCTTCTTTTGTTTGTTTTGTGGGCCCCTAAAAAGATTCCTTTGAGTCATGTTCATCGTGTGACAAGTGTAAATCCACCAACTCACTGCTTTATCTACTCTTAGTAATCCGTGGGCCCTCTATCTGAGGAGTACAGAAGGAAAAACAACTTCACACATTCAGTATAAGCAAATGAGTTGCAGAATAAATCTGATTCTTCACATTTATAAGTAGAGCTAAGCTTCATAATAAAATTAAGAAGACGACTTTAAGAAGTCTTTAAGAAGAATAAAATTTAAGAAGACTTAAACGAATGTTTAAGAGCAATTACACTTTCAAATTACTAATGAGTAGTCAAATACAGAAATTGTTCCTCAAATCTACTCCTATCTTCGATTTGCAGTTAATTGCATTACAGCTGGTATATTTATATTAAAAATTTGCAGGATCTTATTACTCAAACATTTTCAAAGTAGCAGCAGCAGCAGCAGCAACTTTTCTGTTAAAGCCAATACAAAGCTTTTAGGGTTTCCTTGGGTATGAAATTGAGATGATACGTGGGGTTTTTTAAAATCCTTAGAATTTTCTTTGATCTGATTGAAATTATCAGTGCAACTTCAGAAATTATTCTGAAGAGCCTACTAGTCTCCCAAAATACTGTGTTTCTAAAATAAATTTGTATTTCAGATTTTGAATGCAGGCTCCGTTAGCCGAAATTAGCAATAATATTCTGTATAATCACCAATTATATTAGCTTCTATTCTACAGGAAGCATTTTCAAGAAGGAGGCTTATGTTGTCAATTTTTTACTCTTTTTTAATGTTGTCAATATTTTGCTCAAGAAATTGCTCATGAATTTACATGTAGAGTTTACGCATACCATAGCAATGAATATGAGATCCTACTAATGGATGAAAGGTGGAAATGAGGCCAATGAGATGAATACTTAAGTCAGTGTATCATTTGAAAGTATGAATTCTTACAGTGCAGTTAAAACTGCTCACACTGCTAGGAGTATTCCTCACAGCTGGTCTTGCTTCTTGGAGTACGGTCCTATTGCAGTTTAGGAACTGCTTGTCAGAAGTGAATTCTGCTACAGTTAAATACAGCTATGTGAGTGTATGTATTTCATTTGAATGAAATTTCATGCCTGCCCAGTTTTGGGTTTTTTTTCAATTTTGTATTACTAAAGTTATCTTTTTCCACTAAATTTCAAGAAAGTTATTTTTCCATAAAATTACATGCAAAATTATGGTTTTGTAGTTATGAAGGTACGGAAACATTCTTAGATATTTGATTTTCTTTGTGATGGCGGGGGAACAGAATGGATCACAAAGTCTTAAAGAAACTTTTTTTGTAGGCTCCTTTCCCTTTTTTTTATTGGGCTCATGAAATCTACTAAAAGCTGTAAGTTTTACTCGAAACCGATCCCACGCAAATGTTCTGCATCTGCTGACCTCCGTGGATGGCCACAGGCTGGGACTGTTGCTCCAGTTCATACATGTCTAACTGTTCTTTTCCAGTAAAATGTTGAGCATTTTGTCCATACTGCTTCTCCTGATCCAGAAGTGCCCTGATCCACTATTTCACTGGTGACAAAGTGATAGTATGTGTGAGTTTCAGATGTTGGCAGGCACAACATGCCTCTTCGTCCTTGGTGTCTTGCAAACGGTACTGCTTTTGCTCTTGTATAATTTACCCCTGTTCTTCTTTTTAACACTTTGTTCCACAGGCTCAGCCAGATGGGAGATGTTTGGCAGCTGGAGGACCCAGATGCCAAATTCTGGAATATAGCTTTCTTGCCAATGGCATGTGGGTTCATGGCTGGCTTCTTGGCTTGCACCTCTGCTAGCTTCTTGGCTAGCTGTCTAGCTGGCAGCTGTAGCACTGCCTCTGGGGCTATGTTAGGGTCAAGCTGCTATGGAGTTGGATGACTCTCCTGGTCTGAATTACCCTGCCGGACACCATTTTCACCTTAGTTTGCTTTGACTCTCCACTATTGAAAGACGAACATTTGCACTGTTCTGTTTTATTCCTGCCATTTGTAAGACTAACTGGAAGCAGTAGTTCTCATTTGTCACCAGTTCAAAAAGAAAATAAGCATTGCAGAGTACACTGTTTCACTTGTTAGGATTCCCATTCAGTCAGTAGGAATGTAGGGCCCAAGTCTGTACTTGCAATTCATCTCTGGAACCAAACTGTAACTACAGAGCACAGGCTTTTAAAAAAAAAAAAGTCTTATGTCTAAACTTTGATTGCTTTCAACCGTGAGTGAATCTAGCCTCTGTCGAACAGAAAAAAAATACACATTTGGGGAGACAATCTGGATCATTTTTAAAGAAAAACGATAAAGAATAATGATGATAATAATAAATAGGACATTACTGGTAATAATTAAGAGCGCTGCCAGAAGAAAATGCTTGATCTTCTCTTTGCCTGATTTGGAATGTCCTCGTTACATACTTTAGTTTTACCTAAGGTTTTTGTGGTTTGGGTTTTGTTTTGGTTTTTTTTTTCATAAATGAGGTAATGAAAAATTAATGCATCTAGGATAGCAAAGCATTTGAAGTTATTCCCTAATCTATGCCTTTTCCTCCATGCACCTCAGTGCATAAATGTTACTTTCAGTGGGAGAAACTGCAAAATCAGGAGGTCTCTAACACTCCGGATACTTACAGTAAAGTACAGATTAGTCATACCTGCTATGAAATTTTCATTCCCTCACTCAGCTGTAGTGAGAGTATGTTGTGCTACACTGGAGACAGTGGTGTCTCTATTACATACTCACAAAACTTTTTTAACACTTGAGCAAATAGCACTTGTGCCTCACTCGGACACAAACTTCCACCTGCATGTTAAGGTTAAGATTTGCAGCGTGATCTGAACTCTGAGGAAAATCACCTGAATTCCCCATTATCATCACTGGAGAGAGCTGCTTGTCTCAGGAGCAAGAAAAGGGATACCCCACCCATATAGAATCATAGAATCATAGAATCATTAAGGTTGGAAAGACCTTTGAGATCATCGAGTCCAACCGTCAATCCAACACCACCATGCCCACTAAACCATGTCCCTAAGCGCCTCATCTATACGTCTTTTAAATACTTCCAGGGATGATGACTCAACCACTTTCCTGGGCAGCCTGTTCCAAGGCCTGACCACTCTTCCAGTAAAGAAATTTTTTCTAATGTCCAATCTAATATAGTTTAGGCATATACTCCTCTTTGGTGACAGCCTAGGGAACATAAGTGCTTCCATAGGAATACAGCCCAGTTACATTAAATAAGTCGTTATGGACTATATAGGGAACCAGTAGGAACTAAAAGCATCTGTTTCACTCAGAGGTAGTCCGCATAGCCCTTTCTGGATGATAATGGAGCAGGGATGATTCTTTTGAAAAACAAGCTGGCAGCAGCAACAGCAATATTCCCACCTTTTGCAGGAGAGCTTTGTTAACTGGCTTGTCAACGAAGTAGGAGACCTGAGTTTTAGGTTCTCAGCACAAGCATCGCAGAGGTGTTTTAGTCATTAGGATCCTTGGCACAGGCCTAATCACATGAAATATTTGGGGACCAGTGGAGTCTCTCATCTTCCTTCTTGCTGAATATTGGCCATTGTATAGACAGGAGCACAAAAGTCACGGGATGGGAAGGAGAGTGGGCAAGAAGAGTCCGAATCCTACCTGAGCATGGACAAGACTGGGACTGTAGGCTCTGTTCCCTGGAGCAACATTAGGCCAGAAACAGCTTTGGATACTGAAATAGAGCTTTCACTGTTCCCCTCTCGGAGCCAAGCGTCCAGATTTCTAGTATGGAGCCAGGATCCCCTTTTCTACGCCACCTTTCAGCCTCATGGTTCTTGCATTCCTGGTGTCAGAGTAGCCTTGCTTCCATGGACGTTCATGCAGGAGACCCCAAGTGCTTATAGCCAGGTTATTCCTGGGATGGGGGAGATGCTGAATCAAGCCTTCTGTCTGAGAAGGACCTACAACCAAAGTCCCTCCTTACCTGGGCAAATTACTTGACCATGAGGCTATAATACAACAAGTTGCCAGTGCCACCATCAAAACTCTGCCTGCCTTTTATGAGCTTCTTCACAAGACCGGCAAAGTTCAGGATGTTGCCCTGCCTATAGGTGGAAAATGGGCACCTACCTGAAAGAGTATGTATGAACGTACGTCTTGTGGTAGGTGCCCACAGGTAAGCTGCCCTTCCAGCTTAACAGTGAAGGACCTCATGAGTTTAGGGACCTGCTGGGTGGTTCATGGGATAGTGGGTGGGAATGCAGACATGGACCTAGGAAGGCTTTTGGGTGTCTGCCTCCCAAATTAGGGTTTCAGCATGC